AGCATAAATCTAAAAGTTTCCACATATTTATTATAAAAGAGAAAAAAATATTAATTTGAGTTGATGTTATAATACAATCATAAATAGAATGAGTAATTAGGAGATAAATAATAAAAAATTACTTAATATAAAATATATAAAACTAATTTTAAAATATTTTTATTAATTAAAAAAAAAATTCTTAAAATTTCATATATTTTAAGTACATTTTTTACTAAATTTGTTTAAACGAGCCAGCTTACAAACCAACAAGTCGAGTCGAGTCCGGCTTGAGCTGAGCCCGAGAAGGCTCACTAGGTAGAAACTCCCACGGCACAATTTAATAAAGTAGAAATAGAGAGGTTGGGTTGGGAGGTCTCAATCTTCTTACCTGTGCAGCTTCTTTAAATGCATTTTTTGTCCATATGGAAATTCTCTCCTGCTTTAATCGTACATTGACGACTGCTCCACATATTTCATCACCATTGTCAAACTGCTCGCCAAGCATCGCAAGTAACTACCAGGAAACAAGACCAAAAGTTTTAGGGGCCGTTTGTGATGACTTTTATTTTTAATTTTATTTTATTTATGTTTTGATATGAATCAAAACATGTTTAACATATTTGATCGCTATATGATTATTTTAAAAAAAATTGAAAACTCCAAAAGTTAATTTTGGGGTTTTCAAAAACATATTAATTTATTTTAAGAAACAATAAAAATAAAATTTAAAAACAAAACCAAAAAAAAAAAAAAAAAAAAAAAAAAAAAAACTGATACCAAACAAAAGGAAGAGAAGATTAGAGTTGAAATTTGATGAATTTATGAAATAATAGAGTTGAAATTTGATGAGATTAGGGGCATACAGTGTATAACCACAACACATCAATGCTTCCCCGCGAGCAGCTGATTGTCCACTTCCCCCCCTTTTCGCAGACTGGATCTTCCCATTTTGGCTCTATTCCACGTTTAAAACAGTGGAAGTCTGCCCCAACAGCCAGCCTGCTTGGCTGATGAATGTTATTGTAAAGTCTGGCAACCAGTAGTTAGAGCAGACTGCTTCAGTTCACAAACATGAAATGGAAGAAGGGAAGCTGATAGATAGTGTTAGGATCATACAAAAGTCTTCTGGTAAAACACAACTTATCATGCAAAGCACAATTCATGAAAAACCTCAAAAATACCAAATTGGAGAAAAATTCAATTTGATTAATAATGTTTGGATAATGTTTATACATGCTTGAATTGACCGGGTCGAGGCTCAATCAGGTAAAAATGGCCTAAACCTGTCCCCCAATTCCTCAGCAATAGAAGAGCATTGGGTCATGATTCTCATGAAACATTGCATCTTAGAATTACTATGGCATCCATGCAAGACCTCGCTGAAAGTCATGTCTCAAATATCGCTCTCAAGTTAAGGAACAACTCCCTGACATCCTTCGCAGACGTTAGAGCCTATTGTCATTATTTCATGTCAATCCAAGACACAAAACTCCAAATTTTTATTAGAACTGTCATCATGATGTAGCATAAACATTGCAATTCTTTGATTGATGATACAAGACCAAGTTAGCATAGCCAGAGGCTGAACATAAATTTCATGAATTTCCATAATGTAGTTATGATTTTTTTATGGTCAATTAATATAAGCAATAAATTAAAAACAATATAAACCCAAATCAGCCCTAGTCATTAGTGAGGATTTTCTACAAATTCAAATCCCCAAAAAAGGATCAAGCCTCCCTCTAAAGCTCCACTAGCCAACACCTAGCCACCAACTTATCAAAGTGCGTGTCAACGTTGCTAGTGGTAGCCATTGTCCACAAACCGCCATCACGACCTCCATTGTTATAGCATTGTCATCGCCTTCAAGACTACCTCTGTTGTCATCTCAAGACGTATCATTAGGTCCATAGCAATCACTACTTTGGGCATGTGACAACCATTGTCCTCAGCTTAACAGTTGCCTCGCCTTTTAGGTTTACCACTGATTTCAAATTTGAGTTTATTATTGCCTCCAACTTTATGCTTTCCAGAAATACCACCTTTCAATTTATAATAGCCATCACCCTTTAAATTTTCGTGATCACTAACTTGGAGCTTATTTTAGTCATTACATCAAGTTATTCACAACTATTTCCCATGGGTTCATTATGTCACGACATGACCTGAGAGCTTGAAATTAACCAAGGTGGGAGCAAATGATCATATTGTGATAAAATAGCAATCGAATAGTAAGAATAATAACAATAATATCCAACAATTAAAAATCCACTAATTCACAAACCATGGTAAACATCATCTAAAAAAATATATATAAAACAATCCAGATTAAAACACTAATAAAAATAAAAATGACAAAATGAAGAAACCAAACAATCTGCTACCTATTTTTAATAGTTTCTCTCCTCCTGTAAACAAATGTTTTCCTAACATTCGTGTCAATCTAATAAGTGTTCATGAAAGAACAATTAGAAAAACAATTTAAATTTAAAACAATTTAGTGAATAATTATATGTTTATATACATTAAATTATTATGCAGATGCTTAAACATGACTGCTCAAAATAATATGTTGATTAATCTATAAAATAAGCTTTATATTTTCATAAAAAGATTTATTAAATCATTTTCATTCAATTAAACTTTCTTTTTCCTATATCTTAAGTTATCTTAAGAGTACTGTTGAAAATTTGTACCAATAAAGGTATAATCATTTCCATTTTCATGCATGAATACAATAGCTTCCTTATCAAGTATCATAAGAGAGTGACCAGATTGACTTGAACATTTACTTTTCATCTTAAAATATTTAATTCCATTCAATATATTAGCGCTAGTACCCTAAACCCTAATACCCAACCTTGTCCCTACCCAACATCTTTTCCCTTTACTGGTTTTCTCCAAACCATACACCAAAAAAATTTCTTTGCCCCTCTATATCATCCCTATACGCCTTCTTCTACCTACCCAAACCCAAACACCGTCCACGCCACCTGAAAAGACAATTGTTGGAGACCTAATTGGAAGGAAATGCCATAATGTTGTTTATGAGAAATCAATAAAGAGATGTTCGAGAACCTTCTATGGAGGATGTGAGAAAAAATCCTTCAATTGCAACAGAGGCATGCCACCTCTAAGAGGAGTCAATCTAGAAGGGTCATCCATAGTCACAATTGTGAAATGGAAGATCGAAAGAATACGAAGAATCTTTTCTACCAAACATATTCCAAAGATGAAGAACCACCATCCCGCAAATTTAGAATGAAATATCAGAGAATCTGTGATCTTAAAGTAAATGTGAATTTGTCATATTTTGACGATCACTTGGATGCATATAAGTTCATCGAGTGGCTGTAGACAGTGAAATTTTTCTGTGTTGCTAGCCATCTCGTTGAATAGAATGATGAAAATAGACGCCAACAAGTCAAAAAAGAGTGCATTGTTTTGATAAAAAAATTTGAAGCATCTATGCCAGTATGAGGAAAAGTAAAAGATCATTACTTAGTTCGAGATGAAATGAGAGTAGCAGCGCTAGTACTTACTCGCACTTTATAGGCAAGATATGTTCGTAAGACCTCAACAATTATAGCAACATTATTGGATGACCTCCACACCTTACACGTAGAATTCAACCCTAGGATTGAAGAGTAAGAGTACACCCTCAGGACTACCCATGCTTTCATTTGAAAAGAAACTAATTGAGAGTGGAGAACATGTGAGGCTAACCGACATTCCCAAATTTATCCAAGCCATAAGGTGCATTAAGTGCCACAGTTTTGGGCACAGTGTAACAGATTGCCATAATAAAGTTACAATCTATTTCATTGAGCAGGGAGTTGGTGAAGAAATGACTAATGTTACAGTAGATACAGAAGAAGGTGATGACATAAAGTAGTGTGATTCTAATTAACGAAGAAGAAAAGCACATAGGTCAAGTTAAGCCCATGAGAGAGAATCCAATAGAATTAACATTGGTGGTCCAAGACGATCCTAAATTCGAGGAATTGACACTAGAAACATAACAATCCCATATAAGGGAATTTCAAACTTTTCAGATGCATAGAGTACTTCTTGTGTTTCCTCGACTGAGGAAGATTCAACATATCAAAGATGGAATCATTTGCGTCACTTTTGGAATAATATGTGAACTTATTTGGATATCAAATTCAGTTTAGCAATATACCCAATGATAGATAGTCATATAGGAGAGATAAACCACAGTGTTGAAAACTGCTTTAGGAGTTTGGTGGGAAAAAAAATCTTATAATGGGATCTCGGTCCCACCAAAGAAGAAGAAAAGACCTCTCATGAGTGGTTTTTAGTGAGATTTGCCCAACTAACCATAGATTTCGTCCCAGTGTTATATCGTCTTTACATACTTGTTTATTAAATACGCCCAACAGAGCATGAAATGTGAGAGAAATAATTTAGAGATGTAATGGTTTCCGTCCTGAACCGTGAAAATATTCATCTATCTATAGAGTCCTCTCAGGTTGTGCTAAAAAAAGAATTGATACTTGTTCTATCAGAACGTGACTTAGAATGACAATGATTACATGATCGACTTACAGGGCAGTTGCAATAACTCTGTTACCATCAACTTGCTTGACCTGATGTCATACTATCAGAATTCAAAAGCTTTGACAGATAAGGTCGAAGCTCCCCAAACCCCAACAGACTAACGCGAGGCGATGCTTCTGTGTTCCGCTGAATTGCAGATAAGGCGCTGAAGATGGGCCCAAACAATCTTTTGTTTTTCTTTTGTATGTTTTCTTTTCTATTATCCTTCATTTTTTTTAGTCATTTCTTATATGCGTGTGTGTGTTTGTGTTAAGGTTTGGAAGACAGTTTTTGGATAGGTTATTTAGGATAGTTGCCGACATTCGTTTCTCCCTTCCAGTGTTATATCCGAGGGTAGAGTGGTACTCCAACTTTATCTTGTTTCCAAAGTGGTAATTTATCCTTCCACAACACTTCTGCATCCCTCCCTCTTTGCTACCACACATTCCTTTCCATTGCAACCATCCAGGCAATAGCCTTTTGTTGTTCTTCTGCAGTTTTCTCACTTTTCTCACTGTCGCCATCCTAGCCAGCCAACCTTTTATTGTCTTACAGTCCACCGCATCCCCATACGCTGCCACTGCCCTCCCCCTTGCTGCATAAGTCCAGAATATTACTTCTCCTGCTGTCTGGCCTTTGCCCAGCCCCTCGCCCTTACTTTCACCATGCAATATAGCCCATCTTCTCACTGTTCCGGCAGTTTCTTACCTCCCGTTTGCGATCACCATCGCCCCAATTCTGCCACCCTACCTTCCAGCCCATCCACTGCCCTTTGCTACCTCTCCGGAGGTCCGAACCCTCGCCAATCACCGCCACCCCAAGATTCGCCTTAGTTTGATTTGGTGTTGTCATTTGTAGCCATTTTCTATTTCAAAGTGTTGTGTTTATGGTCATTTCTTATTTCTGTTTGTGTGATTGTAATCCTTTATTTTGGATTCAACAATAATATTTGTTATTCCTGTTGTTGTTTGGGTTAACTTAAGTATCAATTTCCTTAATCATTTTCACCACTGCTCATTGAGCTCATGGAACTACTGAGTTATGAAATCTCTGGTGCAATCCATGTCGCTCACAACTTCTCGATGGCTAGGTTTTTCTCCTTGCATTACTCTTCTTCTTATTTATGGCATGATCCACGTTCACCACACGCTTTCAGGGTGTTGAACCCAGATTTATCCTTGAATCACACCCAAAGAATATAGTGTTATGAAGGAGAGAGAATGGGAAAGGATATAAAGAGAAAGAGATGGATGAGCAACTGGGTCGAGACAACAGAGTAATATAGAGGAGATTGGAAAGGTTTTCTCCCTAATTCCAATGATTAAAAGATTGAAATCAGGATCATCAATTTGAGGTTTGAAGAAAGGTTTTCTCCCTAATTCCAATGATTAGAAGATTGAAATCAGGATCATCAATTTGAGGTTTGAATCATGGATCCTGGCCCTCACTGTTTATAATTAATATCTCTTGTTTATAGGGGTAAATCCTTAAAAAATTACATATTTAAGCCTATACCAGTCTTAGGACTAAATAGGGGTGAATCCTCAAAATGAAGTATTTAAGCTTATACCATTCCTAGGTCCTTAGGTACATCTAACTGTATTTAATGGTCATATCCCCACCAAAGTTGGGGTCATGGAGAACACTTCCCCTGGTTGACTTCTTAACTGAAAGGAAAGGCCCTTTGCCTTTATTTGCCCTGACACTCGGGCTCTCGTACTTAGCAACTTGCACTCGACCACTCATACTCAACCTACTAGTGCTCTGACTTTTGCCTAGTTGCCTGACATATCGAGTTGACCTTTTATTATCCTCTTTAGGCCTCATCTGCCTGGCAAGTTCTTGTTGATAAACGGGTTGAGAGCCGTTTGATCTCTGGTAGTCCCGATAGCCACTTTTGTTCATGCACTTATATTTTCCTAAAGTTTTTGTCTATTCTTCATTTATATTTTCATTAAAAATGGCATTTGTTATGCAAATTTCATCTTTCTCAATATATTTTCAAATTCTCAATATTAATACAATGATTAGTGGATGTCAAAGCTAATGAAATTTACTGATTGATAGTCAAGATTTCCTCCCTTCTATTACTACTCTATCTAATGGCATCGTCATTTAGCTCACCCACTACCATATTGACTTCAGCAAATACACTTCCATCTCGCTTCAAAATTTTAATGAAATGCCTTTCAGCTTGAAAAATATCATTAGGTATCTTTTTCTATTTTATGAGAAATAGTATTATCCATTTTGCATTTGTTCATTTTGATATCTGATGTCCAAGCCCTATTTAATTGGTCCCACCTAAGGTATAAGTAAGTTTTCACTTTTATAGATTATTATTCTTATGTTACATTATCTTATATGCTTAAATGCAAATAAAAAGTGTTATCTATATTAAAAAATTTCTATCAGTCACGTTCGTTTTAACATTGTATTAGCAAAATTTTGTAGCTATTTACATTGCCAATGATTCTATTATTTATAAATATACTACACATATAATCATAGATTGTCACGCCACTAAATATGTTGTGCTAACCAAAAAGTTACTACTCATAATTTAAGTTTTTTTCACTCATGTTTAAGTTTTAGCATTTGACAATTATCTTTATCAAAACTCTAGAAAACTTCAATTTATTTTGGTTATGTATCATTTTGGAATCTAAAGGCTTTCGTTTGAGTAGATCTAAAACTGAATATATAGAACACATTTTTAGTAGTAGCTCTAGTAGTATAGTTGTAACTATTGGTAATCAAATCATTAAAAGATGCGAACATTTTAGATATCTCGGGTCTATTGTTCAAAATGATGGTGATATAGATGGGGATATTATTAGTAGAAATTATTTAGATGGGGATATTATTAGTAGAATTCAAATTGGTTGGTTGAAGTGGAGGAATGCATCTGAACTATTGTGTAATAGCAAAGTACAAATTAGGCTTTAAGAAAATTTTATAAGATTGTGGTGAGACCAACAATACTTTATGGAGAAGAATGTTGGCCTTTAAAAAAGAAGCATAAAACATAGTTGAGGGCTACTGAGATGGGAATTCTTAGGTGGATGAGTGGCTTTACATTTAGAGACAATATGCAAAATGAATCTATCCGTGAAAGAGTTGATGTAGCTCCAGTGGAAGACAAGATTAGAGAGAGTCGTCCTACATGGTTTGGGCACATTAAACATCGACCAACCAATGATCTGGTTAGGAGAGTAGATGTTATAGATTCGACTTATGTTAAGAAAAACAGAGGTAGACCTAAAAAGACTTTGGACATATTGTATAAAAAAAATCTTAATCTATTAGAGTTGAATGAAAATATGACACTCAATAGGACACAATGTAGCTGACACTCTTTAGTGGGATAAAGGCTTTTGGAGCTAATTGATATATATGCTCTAGCATTGGCAAAACGTTAACCTAATAGATAACTAACTATATTGAGAAACATGAGAAATATGCTAGAATAAAATACTGATGGAGATTTGATCTCCTTTATTTGTTCTTTCTTTGTACTCTCATTTATACTGCCAAACTTATTCAAGAAAGACAATACTTTTTCCCCTGGGCCACCTCTGATAACGAATCTACTAAAATTAAATCATCCCATCCCATGTCATCAAACAGCTCACCCTAAAGGCCAAAAATCAACGCATAATTTAATGACGAAGATTATCAAATACCCTCGCAATCGATAGATTCAAGCACAGAGACTGCGAGACATTACCCCCAAAAGTCCTCGACTGTTGACAATGTGTGGACGGGGATAATGGAGCTTCCCCAGGCTGCACCTTTCGTCTTGCCAGAGGGATTGTTGAACCAAAATGTCCAGGAATGCTCCAGCGGGTGCCTCCGCAGAGTCCTTCCAAAACTTCCCCCCTTCGCCGGTGATGCCGCTGCGCCCGTGAAGGTCTGATCACCGGCGACGTTGTTCTCTTCCGCTGCAGGATGAATTGCCGTCTCATCAGCAGGCGTAACCTTATTCCTTGATTCGAATGCCATCTTCGTCTCCTCCATCTCCTTCCACACTCCCCTGAGCCTTTCATGACTCTGTACGAGAGAACAATTTATTCATATTAAATTTCTTTAAAAGGGAAAAATTGTAGTGTAGAGCAGTGGGCCCCATTTCTAATTTTTTGTTTTTTAAAAAAATCTTATAGAGCACAATTAAAATTGTATGCGTTGTCCGCACAGAATAATCGCTTATTTATAGTGTTTTTTCGTATCACATCAGAACTCCTCTATTACTATTTTTTAAAAATGAAACACGTTTTTTAAAGATAATTAAAGTGATATAAAAGAAAAAAAAAATAGAAGTCAAATGTTGAATATGTAAATACATAAGAATTATAAGTTGTATATGTAAATCTTACTTTCTTTATTTATTAAAAGTACATCAAAATATATTTGCTGCCATAAAGCATGATCATAAAAAGCTATTTGCACTAAATGACATTTAAAATTTGACATAATAACCATGGAGGCTAATTTGGAATTGAATTTATCTAATTTATAATTTAAATAAAAAAATTAAATTATCTCGAAAAATATATGATATTATTTTACCAAATAAATTATAAATGAAATAAAAATATGTATCATGTATTTGCATTTGCTTGATTCAAATATGACAAATGAATCAAAATTTGAGCTAAGATATACATATTCCTCATGTTGAATGATTAAACCAATTTGATTTTTTTCATAAAATTCACGAATTGGAAGCCATTCGATGAGTCACCAGTGACAAGTCGTTCCATTGATGATAAGAGCTTGAGAAGAAACCTAATTAAAAGAAGGTTGTCGAAATTGAATTTATACAATGATAGCACTGAGTATGTGGTACTCAGCATGCAAACTCAGCAGATTAGTAGACCAATACACAAGTAGTACTCATCCAACAAAATTCATTAAACATGAAAGAGAAGTACTCTAATTGTTTGTTTTTTTGAAAATTTACATACATAACATTGAATTCTTATGCATTTACATATATTTTTACACCTCTAAGCACCTTAACCTATATATGAAAAGCTGGATTACACTATTTCCATATTTCATACATATGGAAAGATGATTAGGGTGCAAAAAGACAAAGTTTGGTTGTGAGACAAGTAAATGCAAGAGAATTGCATGCGATGCATGTAAATTCCCAATTTTTTTTCCCTCTTTTAAGTGATGCTCATTTGAGGCAATCATACCAAAAGAGGTTGAGACTTATGTAGCTCATTCATTGGCATTGACCTTAGCTCTAACCTATAAATAGAGAATCTTGTTACAAAAATCAGATAGAAAATTCTTTTTCTCATGTTCTAGAGAGATGTTCTCTTTCTCTCTCTCTCTCTCACATGCACACACACACACACAAAGACACAAAGACACGCTCATGCACTCTTTGAAACTGTGTATGTTTCGGTCTTTCATTTTCTTGCAAATAGTATCTCAAACTTATATATAATAATTTTTTTGAAATTCAGGCTAATTTTATTGAGCTTTTATCATTTTTTTTAATTTATTTAGATCTTAAATAAGATTCAACTTATCTTTCACTTAACAACTTTGGTTTAAATATTCTTTAAAATATAAGTGGAATCGAGGCTCAACACATAAAATAGATTATTGGTGATCATGAATTCATGATTAATGGGATCATACTCCATTATGCTAAAAGTATAATGATAATGCTATTTTTAACTAGCTTTAGAGAATGGAAGATTATCTCATAAATGTAGTTCAAATAAAGCATTTCTCTCAAGATGCTTCTTATCCATAATCACTTTTCACATCAACAAATTAATCATATAATTAAGATGATGTTTGTATTTTATTAAACACCTCAATTTCTCTAATTTATTTGCGGATGATATCTCTGTTAAATCTATGAAGAAAACAACACAAAGATATCGTAGGAGAGACCAATCCTAAGAAATGCTCAATTGGCTACTAACTTCTCACTTTTAAATGTGGTGGAAATGGTGTTTTAAGACGATAACATTTTATTTAAAAAGGAAGAAAGCAGCACAAAGATATCCTAAGAGAAACCAATCCTAAGAAATGCTCAATTAGCTACTAACTTCTTACTTTTAAATATGGTGGAACGACCTCTAATGGTGTTTTAAGACGATAACATTTTATTTAAAAAGGGTATATTAGGTCCAACCAACATGTGGCTCACTTCATATATTACATCTCATATCTAGTCATGAATGATGTGGTAAGGTGTCACCTTCATTTTACCACTTCTAAAAAAGCTATATTGATATAATTCTCTAGGCCTCCTATACTAAACATACTTTGTATCTTTCAAAATGCAATTTGTTAACCAATATTGTGCTGCAAGAAAAAAAAATCAATCTAAAAATTTATGAGCTCCATTATTTGAGGCAGCGACCTTGTCTCGATAATTTATCACTCATTTTCAAAATTATAAGCTAGACGTGCAAGACTTTGAGGCGATAATTGCACAAATTGCACTCACTTAAGCTTTCTACCATAAACTTATTTATTACATTAGTTATAAAATTGAGCTATTAGTTGTATAAGTTATTCAAACTCACTAATAGCCCTATTAAGAATGAAGAATAAGATCAATTAGTTTCAACTTAAGAGCCGTATACTTGAAAGCTTGATGAATGTTTCCAATAACCTCAAACTGGAAAATATGAGGTGAAGTGTCATCATAAAAAGCCACACAATAAGTAGTACTTTTGTTTGAGCAATTTTCCTGATATATTAACAAAATAAAATAAAATAAAAACTAATGTCTCATTATTCCTGAAGGGATATATGGAAAACTAACTAAATTGTTCTTCTTGCACTTATTTGTAGTCTTATTAATTATTTAAATTTGTGAAAAAAATATACTAATTATTCCTTATCAATGTGTCTGACACCAAACCACCCCAACCCAAATGAATGTTATGCCTTTCATATTAACCATAAAGATGAAAAAAAAGAAGTTTATAAATATTGTTCCTTTCAAAATCTTGTTGAAAGATATATCAAATATGGAAAGTTAAAATATTTTAACATATTAAAATAGGATAGCTACCGAAAGCAATTGACCATAGAGTTTAATTAATAAATAGAATAACAAGTTGCTATTTTTGTCAAGTTCATAAAATTTGAATGAATTTTATCATAGATTCAATTATTTATTTAAAAACGATTAAAGTTGATGGAACAATGGTGCAAATAAGAGTAAAGAAAGATTCAAGGATTAAAAAAGAAGTTTATGAAGAATGGAAATCAAAATCATAAAAGATCTACCATGCTGTGGTGCTTGACTTTGTAAGGCTACAAAGGGCATACCAATGTTGGAAAGAATAATCCATCATACCTCAAATGCTTCATGCTACATAAATCATTGTGATTTATGCAATTCTTAATACAGATAAGATTGAATATGTAAGTCTATTAAGCTTATAGAGACTAAGAATATGTAAAGGTTTTCTTATCTCTTGCTCAATGATTAGGACTTTGATCAATATTCACTAATAAAGATTGAACAAAAATGGGTGACTTATTTACTGATGCTCAAATGATAACATTTATTATCAATATTAAAATTGATAGTATTTTAGTCAATATTGAGTGTTCAATTAATATTATTTTAAGGGGTACAACAACGATCGTCACATTATAGGACTTCTTTAGCATTTCTTAGGACATCACAATGAGAAATTACTCTCATCTCTCTCTTGTCAAATTAGATATATATGGCTCCTTTTATGCTTAATGGCCTAACTAACTTAGCATTGACATAATAACTTCATATTATATTTTTTTAGGTTATTGGCTACTAAATATATTTAAAGCACTTTTGTTGTAACTTCATCATCACTTGTGAAGAACAAATTTAACAATGGGAATGCTATCTAAAGCTAAAATGATCAATATAAGAGGACATTCAAAAACTTGAGTAGGAAAAAAGTTGTTCTTTAAGAAATTGAACTAGCTAAGAAAGATATTAGCATGAATAACACTTTTAAAAGGACACTACGAATTAATGTACAAGTTAAAGTTAAAAGATCATACACAAAGTCGTAAGATACTTGCAAAATAACATTAGTATATTCATATGGTTGGCTACTAGATTATTTAGCATTGATGCAAATGTTATAAATCATCATTTAGACATTAATAAAGTGATCGTTTTTGTTGAGAAAATGACAGGTTTATGTTACTCTAGTTAAGAAATTTTAAAATGAAGTTTAAATATACTTAGGTTATATTAGTGAGAGAGGTTTTGTATTTGGATAGTATATCTAATGCTGTAAAAGTCCCAAAATCTAATGGAAAATGAAGTTTGTTCATCAAATTCACCAATTTAAATTTGATATGTTTGATACCCACTTTCAAGAATTAATGCACTGATAGCTTAATAGTAAATTATTCAATATTAATTTTCTTATGCTTTCTCTAAGTACTATCATATAAATTAATTTGAAGGAAACTTATATTATGTTAAGGAAAAATAATATGCAACTTCATATGAAAATAATTTCTTAGAGTAGAAACTAAAAGTAAATACTTTACCTATAGAGAATCCATGATAAATTTGATAAGGTGAAAGTGATAAAACTATTGTTAATAAATTGAAGGAATTATATATGTAACGATTATAATCATCATACTAAGTTGCTTTATCTCAAGATTTGACTACAAAGATTGAATATTTTCTAAACTTCTTCAACGTGTAATATATTTTTTATAAATTGATGAATTCAACCAAGTTGTGGATAAAGTCAATACTTTTCTCACTACTACTTTATATACCTTAAACATTGTGATAAGTTGCTTCTTTTTCTGCATGTTATAGAAGAAGCATTGAAGACAATCCTCATATAGAAATATGATAAAAAATAAGTCTATATACTATATTAGAAATATTATATGAAAAGAAAAATGTGGAACTGGGCGAAACAGTGGAGTTGCTAGTTGAGGTGGCACTATAGTGCTTAAACTGATGCCATAGAGCCAGTCACGACTAGAAATAGGCGACATAGCGACATTTTGGCTCATAGTGCCCGAGATGGTTTTT